ATAAAGATGTTTCTCTCTGCCTGGGTAAGTTTTATCTACATCATAGTGAATGTCATCTATTGCATTGTAGCAAGGAATGTAGCTCCTTAATTGGGCAATCCACCCTTTGAAAGACTCTGCTGTGATGTGATCATATGTTACATCCATGGCCACTAGCAAGACCATTTAGCCATGTAGGTGCAGGCCATATGCCTTCCACCTCCTGGAAGAAAATAAACTTTTCTTAGATTTAGAAATAGTGGGCATGGAGGGAGATATTCCACCACTGTCTGAGTTGCCACATATCAGTGAAAAATAACATACTTGTTCAGTCTCAGTTACACGCCTCTCATTCAAACAACTCAATTTGATTACATGTTCAACATTTTTCTATGCAGTCATTCAAGCTGATGAGGACTTTAAGCTTTGTATGGAATGACTGCTCAGTTTTCAGAAGTGTATTTAATTTTGACTGACATGCCGTGAAAGTGTAATAAGCAATTGATGCATTACATATTTTTAATTATTGAAAGAAAGTGCTGCCATGATGAGCACAAATGACCAAATGGGAATGTTGAACATGCAGTTGTTCAAATGTTAATAGGAATAAAGAGTTCTGTAAAAGTTCACCAAAGCAACTGAGAGAAAGTGTAAAATCTTTGGAAGCAGCAGAGTTGTGCAGCAATTTTGTATGTTCTGTAAAAAGTAATCACCTAATCTTTATCTGGAGCAAATAGTTTCTAAGACATGCCTTTAGCTGACAGAGAGACCCATTTAGAGCAGAAATTATATAAAAATTGTAAAAAGATATGTAAATATTTTGCATTTAAGATAAAAAAAAAAAATGTTTCCTCTGTCAATATGCTCTATCAAGTGGAAAAGTCTTACTTTCACCTGGTTTATTTTAGTTACATTTAGTAAAAAATCTTATTAAAGGAACATTTACTTATCCAATTATTAATCGATTAATCAAAAAAAGATTTGACAGATAAAAAAAACTATATATATATAATTTTTGTTTTTTAATGTTCTTTCTATTTTGTAATTACTGTTGTAGTTGTCAATCCTGGAAGCAAAGAAATATCTGGGGGCTGGGTGTTGGTATCTTAAGTAGTTCTCAGCTAGGTCTCAAATTATATATTTATTTTAAAAATGCCTAAATTGCACCCTCAGCACATATAGTTCCAAAAGTGGTGTTAAATCAACTTTCTAGGCCTTAATTGGACACTCCCATTTAGGACCAATTATATATACACTCATCGGCCACTTTATTAGGTACCCCATGCTAGTAACGGGTTGGACCGCCTTTTGCCTTCACAACTGCCTCAATTCTTCGTGGCAAAGATTCAACAAGGTGCTGGAAGCATTCCTCAGGGAGTTTGGTCCATATTGACGTGATGGCATCACACAGCTGCCGCAGTGCTCTATTGGATTGAGATTTGGTGACTGTGGAGGCCATTTGAGTACAGTGAACTCATTGTCA